TTTTTTGGTTTTTCTCTGGTACCGGGAACCGAACTCACGACCTTGCGCTTGCCAGGCAGGCGCTTTTGCCGCTGAGCTAAATCCCCAGCCCCTCTGTTGCCTTTTCCTGGCTGGAAACTTTGGGCACACATCTTTGCCTCTTTCCACCTTGTCTTGTCTCTCATCCCTTAAGTCATCACGTTTGCAAAGCCTACCATTTGGAGTTGACTCCATCTCCCCACTGATTCCACGTAAAGTTACGTTTGTCTCTTGCAAAGTCAATAAATTACCTTTTCTCTAGAGTAAGTTTATTGGGATCTGCTCATCACAATATAAATTGTGCCTTATTCTTTCTTCTTGTCCTTTTTAACTAGCAAAACTCCCTTTGTGACAGTACAGTTGTCTCAGCAAGATGTCTGTACTTAGTACATTTTTGTATGCATCTTGCCTTCCCATTTTGTTGATGCTTAAGGAATGGGTGAGCCCTGAAGCGTCTCTTCCATATTTAGAAAAGTAGTGGCTGTGATGGCCTGGAGATGTGCACTGAGCTGAGTCATATACTGGCTTTTGTTTTCTTATTTGTTTAGGATTTGCCAGCACAGGAGACCGTGGAAGATCTCAAAGGTAGAGTGCCGTCATTATTTAATATTCTATCACAACATTATCCTCAGTGAAGTGAGAAATATTTGATGAGACAATTATTTCTCATTGGAGCTTGTATTTATGTCTACATTCAAATGGTGATATTTTATCAATCACATTTTATTGTAATTTCTATTTGTGCCTCATTTTCATACAACACATAAGAGCAGGTATGGAATAAGTTTATCATTGATATGTACAAGGACATGTACTTTATTATAGTACATACATTGAAAAATGAGAGGTGAGGGGCTGGGGATATAGCTCAGTGGCACAAGTGTTTACCTGACAAGTGCAAGGTCCTGAGTTCGATTCTCTCACCAAAAAAAAAAAAAAAAAAAGAAAGAAAAATGACAGATGAAATAGTGTAGTATTCTGCATAAACACATTTCTTTCAAGTTACACATTTCATTTTGAGGAACTTAATTTTAACCTAATTTTTCTTGTTTATTACAAAGTTTTTATGTAATTGTCTTTTGATGACCTTCAAAAGGCTTAGAAAAGGCCCATCTTAGTTATTTTTCTCATTGCTGAGACAAAATACCTGATGCCCAAAGTTAAAGGAGGAAGGTCTATTTCAGCTCACATTTTGCAGAGGTTTCAGTCCATAGTCATCCGGCTCCAGGGCAGGGTAGCATGGCAGAAGGGCGTCACAGAGGAGAAATAGTCCATGACAAGCAGGGAGGAGACAGCAAGGCAGCAAGCAGCAGCAGCAGCAGCAGCAACAAGCCTAAGTCTCTCTTTTTATCCCTTCCAGGCTACCCACCTTTTGGGGGGTGCCACCCACGCCCAGGGTGGGCCTTCCCCAGAACTATGCTAAACCACTCACATGCCCTTAATCCCAGCATTACATCCTTAATCTCAGTGTCACACACTCTTGATCCAGCCACCTCCGAAAAGCCCCACCTGTGACTGCATGAGGCTTTAGGGGGACAACTTAGAAGGAGGCCTTCTGGAAGGCTGAATGAAATCCTTCCTTTCTCTGCATTTTTTGTTTGTGGTACTAGGGATGTGGCCTTCACATTTACCTACATCCTCAGTGCTTTTTTGAGTTTTTATTTTAATAAAGGTCACTAAATTGCCTAGGCTGAACTTGAACTTGTGATCCTCCTCCTTCAGCTTCCCAGAGTGCTGGGATTATAGGTGTGCACCACTGCATCTGCTCTGTAATTCTGTTTTCTCTCAGTACCTCTGCAAAGACAAACTCTATGAACTATGTAAAATTTGAAAAAATTCTAAAATTTTATTTTCTGGAAAACAGCTAAAATTAGTATCATGGCCCTAGATCTCGAAAATGAAGTTTCTTTTTGCATTATTCAACTACATTCCAGTATAAAAATAAAAGATTATCCATATTCTTTTATGTACATTCCTAATACTGGAATAAAACATACATCAGTTAGGGTTTCACTGTTCTAGCCACACATATGCTTTTTAACAATGTTCTATGCCTTGTGTTCATTTTTACACACACACAGGGAAGCACACCTTTTCCCTCATATTAAACCACATCTTCCAAATTAGTTATCCTGGAGCTATTAGAACCCACTCCTATGTAACCTGTGGATATCTGTTCTAGCCACTTGCCCTTACAATTGCAATTATTTCCTTCTTTTCTTACTTGTCTTAGGAAATGAACAGAGATTTCACATACACCATTTCATTCTGAGACACAGCTAGTGAAATGCACAGATGTCATTTAAAGTATTCTGAACTACCAACTACCTGTGGTTTTGGTTTGTTTGCTTTTAGTAACACTGCACTTAAGCAATATGGTTTTTTTCCCTTAGTTCAGTCTTAGTCTGTCTATTGGTGAAGACACAGTGGCTTTCATTATTTTCAACAGTTTCTTGTGAAAGATGTGTAAAATCCAACAGACTGTCACGCTAAAAACACTAAACAAATTGGGATTATAGGAGTATTTCCCAAACCTGATAAAAGCAACCAATGAAACATTCAAAGCTGACATTATTCAAATGCTTTCTTCATAAGACCAGAAACAAAGCAATGATATCTACTCTCATGATTCTTATTCAGCATCATAGGAGAAACTAAGCGCAGCAAGGGCTGGGGATGTAGCTCAGGGGCACAGTCCCTGTCTGGGCAAGTGCAAGGTCCTGAGTTCAATTCCCAGTACCAGAAAAAAAAAAAAAAAAAAAAAAAGAAAGAAACAAAAGGCAACAAGCCTGGAAAAGGAAAAGTATCTTTATTCACAGATAACACCATGGAAAATCCTAAGGAAAACATTAAAAGAACTAATAAATGAGTTCAGCAAATTTGAGAATATGAAATCAGTGTATAAAATCAATTATATTTCTACACTAGCAATGAACAATGAAATGAATTAAGAACCCAATTTCAGTTATAGGAGTTAAAGAGTGAAATACTTGGGAACAAATCTGACAAAAGGGCAGGACTTCAATACTAGTTACTATTCCGATGTCAGCAAAGTTCTTGCTGGGGACGCATGTGGCTCTCCCTTGTTTCACCTGACCTGCTTCCACAGTCACCCCTGTCACTGTGGGATCTTGAGAACTGAAAACGTACTGGGGGAGGATTTTCATCTTACAAGGAAATATTGCTATGGATGTTGCAAAAAAGAAAAGGACAAGAAGTTTGTGTCAGAATAGAAGCAATCCCTGGTGAGTCTCCCAAGATGTTTGGGAGACATTTTGAAGCTGCAGACATTCTATCAGTAAGATCGGCCGGCAGTCCATCGATAGCCTCAAACACTGGATCCGAGACAAAATGCAGAAGAGTGACTGACAGCTTATCATGGAGCTGGAGAAAGTGTTTGAAATCATTTAATTTTTCCACATGGGGCAGGAATTGAAGTAATATTATGTTGTAATACCACCACTAGGACAGGACAAAAAGTTGGATAGACGTTTGTGGACACTGATAGATTGAGGTGTATAAAATGTTTCTCCTGAGAAACCAAGAAGCTCATACTGGTTTGACAGTGGTCAGTTACTCATCCCCGCATCCCAGCTGCCTGTCCACCCGCCCTCTGCGCCCCACCCTTCTTCCCTACTCAGCTGCTGTTTTAAGTTTGCCCTTCCCCAAGATTGGATTTTTCTTATAAATCTAAAGCTCTTTCAATTTTATACTGATTAAATCAGTCCTGAAGTATTTGATTGTTTTTTAAAAAGGGCAAGACTTACTAAACTAAAAACTTTTTAAACTAAGAACAATGAAACATTATTAAAGGAAATTAAAGGGAGCTGGGGATGTAGCTCAGCAGCACAGCACCTGCTTAGCAAGCATGAGGTCCTGAGTTTGATTCCTAGTAACAAAAAGAAATTAAGGAAGAAAAGCATTCCACAACCATGGATTGGAAGAACTAATATTGTTTGGATAAAAATATCCCTGGAATTTGTCTACAAACTCACCACAATCCTTAGCAGAGTCCCAGGTGTCTTCCTGTAGAGATTAACAGATCACATGGAAATCTAATAGACCCAGAATGGCTAAAATAATCTCCCAAGAAAAAAAGTTAGAAGTTTCTCTTGGTATAGAAAGACTACCTTGCTCAAGGCAGCAGGGTAGTACATAGCAGAGCCAGGGATTTCTGACCGCACGACCCAGGTATGTTAAATCACACAACTCTGCCTCTTGCGCCAATAAGAAAAGCTAAAAGACTGAGGTATTATTTAAATATAGACATTTTATATTTAAATATCTCAGGTGGTGGCACATGTCTGTAATCCCAGCACTCTGGGTGGGTAAGGCAGGAGGATTGCAAGTTTGAGTCCAGCCAAGTCAGCTTAACAATTTATTGAGACCCTGTCTCAAAATTTTATTTTCTTTTAATTTTTTTTTGTTTTTATTTTTATTAGTACGTATTTTCATTACATAATGATTACATTCCTTGTGGGGAGTCGGTACACTTATGTAACACATCTCCCCTTCCGCCCCTTCCCGCTCTCTTTTGATTTCCTTCCTATTTGAAAAACATGAATCTCCCTATTTTCTATTACCTATCTTTTACATTTATTTTGGGTTTCTTGAATATGAGAAATTATGCAGTATTTAAGTTTGTGTGTCTGATTTATTTCACTTCACATTATGGCTCAAGATGCATCCATTTTCTTACAGATGACTCAGGTTTACCTTTCTGAGAGTAGTACTCTCTTGGTTATAAAGACCACATTTTTTTAGGGGCTGGGGATTTAGCTCAGCGGCAAAGTGCCTGCCTGGCAAGCGCAAGGTCGTGAGTTCGGTTCCCGGTACCGGAGAAAAACCAAAAAAAAAAAGACCACATTTTCTTTATCCATTCATCTATTGATGGACATCTATAGGCTGCTTCTCAAATTTAACTATTATGAATTGTGGCGCTATACACAAGGGTATGCATGTATTCCCATAATATGATGTTTTTAACTCTTTCAGGAAGATACCTAGAAAGGGTATACCTGGGTCAAACAAAATCTCTAGTTTTAGTTTTTTGCAGAACCTCTATACTGATTTCCATAGTGGTTGCACCACTTTACATTCCAGCCAATAATGCAGAATTATTCCTTTTTCCCTGTAGCCTCACCAGCATTTGTTATTATCTGATTCTTGATAATAGCCATTCTTTCTGGAATAAGATGGAATCTCAGTGTTGTTTGCCTAACTCTAATGGCCACTGATGTTGAATATTTTTTCATGTATGTTTTGGCAATTTGAACTTCTTCTCTGAAGTGTCTATTCACTTCAGTTGCCCATGTTTTGATTGGGTGCTTTATTTGGGGAGAGGGTCTAATTTTTTTGAGCTCTTTATATATTCTAGATATTAGTCCTCTGTCTGAGGAGTAACTGGCAAAAATTTTTCCCATTCTGTAGATGTCTCTTCACTCTGTTGGTTGTTTCCTTTGCGTACAGAAGAAACCTTTTAACTTAATCTAATGCCATTTGTTGATTTTTGGTACTATTTCTTGCACAATTGGGATTCTGTTCAGAAAGCCCTTGCTTATGCCTGTGCCTTCAAGAGTTTTACATATTTTATCTTCCAGCAGATAATTTCTGTTTCAGATTTTTAAAGATACACAAATAAAAAGGGCGTGGAATGTAGACTCAGTGAGCAGCCCCTGGGTTCAATCCCCAGCACCAGTGCTGAAAAATAACAGCAAAAATACAGACATTTTAGTAACAACTTCACAGTGGAAGTGATATTCTTAAAAATAAGCATCCAAGCGCATTTGTTCCTGAGATTTCTTTTAGTTTTTGCTATTTGTTTGTCATTTTTGGTTCTTGTTTTGGGACCTTGTTTGTCCACAACAGGTAGTGATAAGGTTTCTCTTTATGGTTTGCCTCAGGTGTCGTTCTGTCTGAGGACCACCCTGGAGCACTAGTGTCGTCTACCTCACCTGGCATCAGGACGGAAAGCTTACCTGCCTCTCAGATGTGCCTGCCGGAACCTGTGCCCAGGTCAGCAGAACCCGCCAAGCCAGTTGTCCCAGAAGCTCTCATCAGCGGAAAAGGGAGGGGACGAGAAGGCCAAGGGCAGCGCCCTCCTCGCCACAGGTCTGAGGGCGGCTTAGTGGACAAGGGAGATTTGAAGAAGTTGCGCCGCCTGTCTCTGTCCCAATACGACCTACTAGAAACAGACGTTTCCTTCCAGCCCTGGGGCAGTGAGAATTCAGTCCTGATTCCCGAGCCAGTCACCCATCACCAGGGCTCCATAAGGGAGCAGTTGCAACGCAAGTCACCACAGGACAGCCTGAGCAGTAGCTGCCCCCAGTGCCACACTGTCATGGCCAAACCAGCGGAGAGGCTGGCGGGCACTTCCAGCCAGGTGGGCCTGCCCTTTAGCCAGGATGTGAACTCCTCAGACAGTGAGGTGGCTGTGACTCTCATTGATACCTCTCAGCCTGGGGACCCGCTGAGTCTGCATGAGCCCATTAAAATTGTCATCACGATGAGCAGTACGCCAAACTCCACGACAGAGGTGGGGAGCTCCCTGCACTTGACGGTGATGGGCACAGAGCAGGTTGGCCCAGGGTCTCACACAGCACCAGCTTCCCCAAGGGTGGCCAGTCCTCCAGATGTCGAGCATGTCCTAATCCCTGTGATCACCCTTGAACTGTCCGAGGATGGAGGAGGAAGTGTGACTGGGCCAGAGGACCTCAGAAGTCAGAGGACTCCAGACCGACTGAGGGTGGAGGACCCTGACCAGTGTTCCTCTGGGGAGATGGGAAGAGCCACACAGGCCCTCAGTCCTGGCCCAAAGCATGCCTGGGAACCGGCCCAGGCTCCCACACCCCCGGTGGCCTCTGAGGCTGAGGGTGAGAGGGACAGCCAGGCTAGCCTCGATCCGGCCTCTTGTAAGAGCAGCCATGAGAAGAGACATGCCCGGGTGCTCAGTGTGGACAGTGGGACTGATGTCTTCCTGAGCAGAAGTTCTACGGAAGTGGTCAGTGACAAGGAGAAAACCATACCTACTTCCAAATCTGACCTGGAGGCGAAGGAGGGGCAGATACCAAATGAGTCCAACTTCCTGGAGTTTGTCTCCCTGTTGGAATCAATCAACACTTCCAAGGTGGTGGCCTCCACTCAGCCGCAGGACCCAGCAGATCAGCATGGAGCCAGTGAAGCCAGAGGACTTCGAGGAGGTACGGCTCTTCCCTTTTCTTTGGGTTAACAGTGTTAACCCTTTTCTTTGGGTGGCAAACAGGGTTAACCTCTCTTTCTCCTTTGCCCCTGTGGTCTGACCTGATCAACCATTTGCCTCTTGGCTTTGTGTCTGTGTGTGCTGAGTGTACTGTACTGAGCTTGGTGATGAGCAACACAAGTACAGTGGAGCATCCTTATCCTAAATGCTGGGAATGATCCTAACCGCAAATGGGTCAGATTTTGTATTTTCAGAGTCTAAAGGTGAAATTCACGTTCATGTTTAGATTCATTTATGTTTGACGTACAACTCATACACATATGGAGAAGGCCATTTTCGGCAATATTTTTAATGTACCTGAATTTTGACTGTGTCTATCACATGAGATTAAGTGGAGTTTTCCTTTTGGGTGGTATGTGGTCACTCAAGGAGTTTCCAGTATTGGAGCATTTTGGATTTTCACATTAGAGATGCTATACCTTTATTGGCTAACCATACCAGAAATGTTAAACCATTATAATGAATTTTTGGCTTCCCTAGAAAGCAAAAATGTTTATTTCCAGGGAAAACATTATATTTTACTTTAGCGACAAGAAAACATATGAGATATGGAGATGCATTCTGAGAAAGGTGATCTGCTCAGTGAATCTGCTTTTCTTGCTGAATTCCATTGCAAAATACACAATTCCCTAATAGTGCCAAGTTGTAAACATAATAGCAACTACTTCTATAGCTCTTAATTTATGCCAGGTATTGTTTTGAGTACTTTGTATATATTAACCAGGATAACTACATCATAGTTTACCTGGAAGAGTCCCCACTTATGTTTGTTTTGTTAGCATAATTATTAGCAGCCCTGAATTTCTCTCTAAAGCATCCTCAGTTTGAAATGATAAAGTAGCCAGGCGTGGTGGCACACACCTATAATCCCAGCACTCAGGAGGCTGAGGCAAGAGGATCGTTGTGAGTTCAAGATCAGCCTGGGCTACAAAGTGAGCTCAAGGCCAGCCTGAGCTGCATATTGAGACCCTGTCTCAAAAAGACAAAAAAAAAAAAAAAAAATTAAAAAAAATGAAATGATAAAGCATACAGTCATCTTCATAGTTAGATCACTCACTCTGCATAGAACCCTGTGTTGTGTATATTGTAGTCATTGCTTGTGTGCAGAGAGGCTGAGGATTTTCACTCACTCTCCAAGTTAGTCTGATCAGTGCAGAAAGGACCAGGGCCAAGGCTGGTCCTGAGCAGCTTTGTCCCACAGTCTTGCTTATCACAATTAAACTCTATTTTCCCTCTGAAGGCCGGGAGCATTTATTTTGAGGTTACTCGTGGTTACAGAGAGGCTTCAGTTTCCTCATCCAAAAATAGTATTACAAGACTTAGAGTTTTTATAAATAAAGTCTCTTTGGGCTTTTAAATGTCTTCATTTCCGTGATTTTTGAGGACCTCATTTCTGCAGAGGTCTGTGTTGAGCTGGGTTGTAGGTTAGGGCTCTGGCTAGAAATTGTGGGTGCATTGGGCAGATGGTTCATTTCTTCAGTGTGGGCCACAACGTCCTTCCTTCGATTCTGTTCCTTCAGTCTGGGTTGTAGCATGTTTTTGGGCTAAGATTGTTCCTTTGCTGCTGACCGTTCTATACTCTCTGAGACAGTTGGGGGTTCTCCTGGCTCCATATTGGCAGCTGTGAGCAATTTCCTCCAATGCAGGTATAATTTTAACAACACAGGTAGTGCATCAAAGCAGAGGTAACTATTTCTTGAGATAAAAATCTTCTTGATCCTGTATCAGGTGGATGTTCATCATCTGTTCAGTATGAAGATCTGTACTTAACAGACCCATAGCACTTTCTGCAGTGCTGGAAATGCTCCCTGTCTACGGTCCTGTGTGGGAGCCATTAAGTCACACTCAACCATCAGATGCTTGCAACGGGAAGGAACTGTTCAGCTAAAAAACTGTATTTTTAGTGCTGTTAAATTTTAATTCATTTAAATAACCCTGTGTGGCTATTGGGTGCTGTACTGAACATAAATAATCTGGAGGACTTGAATGATGACTTGAGAAGCATGACATATAGACAGAGTACTGGTTTTGGAACCAGATAGCCCAGGACCAAAGTTTGGTTCTGCAGTACTAGCTGGGTGAACTTGCACAATTTACCAAGCCCGTCTGAATTACAGATTCTTCAGTGAAGCGTGAGTGATAATATGGAATAGATTTCCTAGAAGGACTTAATTAGAAAAATATGTGAAAAATCTTGTTACCCAATCAATTTCAATCTTTCAGTCTTATTTTCACCTCAGGCCATATGCAAGGTTTATTTCATCTGTCTGTCTCCTTGAGTTTCTGCTCTTCTTAGATTTCCTAGCTAACCACATTCAGTCTGAGTGGTATTAAGGTGGAGATTCAGTGGCGTAGAAGGAGCTGTGGGGTGGGGGTATTTGTGAGAAGGAATGGGTGTGTCTGGAGAGAGGCTGAACGTACAGAGGAGGAAAGGGCTGTGGCTTTGGAGCCCCCTTTGGAAAAGGACAGTGATTTTCTTTGTGGGAAGAAACAAGAGGACTGATAAGTCTTTTTGCTCTCCAGGGCCATCAGTGCCAAAGGTGGCATATCAGGCAGTCTTCAGCAGTGCCTGAGATCTGTGAGATTAGCAACACCTTCTTGTTCTTCTGTCCTTAAAGAAAAGTTTATTATTGTAATCTAAACTCTCAGTTCTAGAGTGCATATGTAAACAGCAATGACACTATTGATGACATTGGCAGCCGAGAGGATGTTTTTTAGTTGTCGTGCTCTTCAATGGAAGAACAAGTCTTGACCCTGAATACGTTGGAAAGGGTTCCTGACTCTGCAGGTCTCTCTGTTGTGCTATTATTTCCAGTCTAAGTCATCCCCACAGCAGTCTCCACGATTATCTTCAGGCCTCAGGACTACTCTGGAATTTAAGATTAGGCAAAACCACACTCTTATCAAAAGCCTTTAAAACCATGTTTGTTTGTTTATTTGGTTTCACTTTATTTTACAGTATGAACAAGCAAAGACTGTATTCAGAACTTGTTACAGCAGGGAATCAGAGGCCAACATTTGGTTTTGTGGGGAACTTGGAGCCAGGCAGTGCGAAGGGAGTCCCTCGTGTTCTTCAGATGGAGGCTGTTGGTCTGGCAGGGCTGGGCAGACGAACAGATACTGATATCCAATGAGATGAATTAAGTCCACACATTTGGCTTTCTCTGGTTGGTCCAAAATTTCAACAGGGACCAAAATTAGGGAAGCTGGGGCTGGGGATTTAGCTCAGCGGCACAGCACCTGCCTGGCAAGCACGAGGTCATTGAGTTCAATTCCCGGTACCAGAAAAAAAAAAAAAAAAAATTAGGGAAGCTGTCAGTTTCTAACCAAATCCTGGCTACTTGGTTCTAATGATTACAGGGGTGCAGTTTGGCTTCTGGGGTTATTTGCTTACAATAGTGGTCTCACTTCAGACAAGTCTATCTTGTCCAGTGTGCTGAGTGGGCTGATTTCCTTAGCTGGTCACTGCAGGTTGCTCATCAAAGTTCTGTGTCTATACATATTATCTTATTGACTTTTAAATACTGTCTCTTAGCTTATAGAAATTTCTAAAAAAGACCTGTGAATACATGTTAAGATGCTAATTAAAGTTATCTATGACATAGAAAATGGAAATAATCTAAATTTACAACAGTAAAGATCCAGTTAAATAATATCACCCTATATTGATACAATATATAACTACTATTTACGGATAATATATAAGAATATTTAGCTTGGCATGATTCGGTCCTGCACATCTGTTCTCTGGAGCTGTAGCCGTTCATCTGAGTCTGCATTCTTTCCCACCTAAGTGCGTACCACCAATGCATGGGAAGATTTGATGGATACGGACATGAGCCCCCTGAGGCCCCAGAACTACCTTTTTGGTTGCAAACTAAAGACCAACAAAGATTATCACTTGAAGGTGGATAAGGATAAAAATGAGTACAGGTCCTGAAGAATGGTCAGCTTAGGGGCTGTGTAAAGGATGAATTGCATGTTGTCTGTCAGGCTTGCCCTGAGGTGCAGCCAAGACCCCTAGAACAGGCAGAGTTGAAGCAAACAGCAATATCTTTATTTCAAGCCAGGTACGGCCAGGCCAAAGGCGAAAAGACCATTGATGCTAAACAGGGAAGAACGTATGCTTTTATAGGGGAGTTTAACTAGGGATGGGGGTCCCCCCAAGGGAGGTGGAAAATTTTAAGTTTGTCAGAAGCTGTTGGTGGGTTTAGTGCATCTGATGGGAAGCACCTAGTGGGAAGTGCATGGTGATAGTTGCAGGTTTCCTGTAAACAAGCAAATCAACCTGATAAACAGGGTTAATTTGGTCTCTGGGGCTGGGTGGAAGGCTTCCTATTTGAACAGAGTGGTGGGTCTGTCGGGGGTTTTTTCTCTTCAAGTTGGGTGGGGTCCAATGTGGGGGCCTAACATTGTTGAAGCAGAGGCTATGAGTTACGAAGGCAGTCCAATTGAAATAACACCAGCAACTTTGAAAATGTCCCTGCGGCCAATGGTTTCCACTAGGGCTTTGAAATTACACCACTGATCCTTTGGAGGTTGAAGTGTGGTTCAGGGCCTGTGCATATTAGTGGACAGCACTAAGTAGCTGTGGAGAAAGATGCAGAATCAGATGGGGAGGAGGAAGAGGATGTAAAGCTGTTAAGTATATCTATAAAGCATTCTGCCTCTGGAAGTGGTAGCAAGGTTTCACAGAAAAAAATCAAAGTAGCTGTCAGTGAAGATGATGATGATGATTATGACGATGATGATGACAATGATGATGATTTTGGTGATGAGGAAACTGAAGAGAAAAACTCCAGTGAAGGAATCTATATGAGATACTCCGGCCAAAATGCACAAAAATCAAACCAGAATAGAAAAGACTCAAAAACCATCAACACCAAAAGGCCAACAATCCTCAGAAAACAGGAAAAGACTCCTAAAACACCCAAAGGACTTAGTTCCTAGAAGACGTTAAAGCAAAAATAGAGGCCAGTGTAGAAAAAAGTGGTTCCCTTCTGAAAGTAGAAGCCAAGTTCATCAAGTATGTGAAGAACTACTTCCAGATGTCTGACCAGGAGGCTATTCAAGATCTCTGGGAGTGGAGGAAGTCACTTTAAGAAGATAGTTTAAGTAGTTTGTTAAAATTTTCTTATATCATTTCTGTAACAGTTGATATCTGGCTGTTCTTTTTATAATACAAAGTGAGAAATGTCCCACCATGTTTGATAAATGTCCAGGTTCTATTGTCAAGAATGTATTGTCCAAAATGCCTGTTTAGTTTTTAAAAATGGAGCTCCATCCTTTGCTTGGTTTTAGGTATATGTGGAATGTTATGATAGCACATAGTAGTAGTAGAGATGGTGTGGAGACGGAAATATACACGTGAAATAAGCTCAATATTTTAATAAAAAAGACTAATGGTATGAAATGGTAATATTTTAAGATAAAATATGATAGTTATAAGACAATATCTTTATTGTTATTTCTTTTTCTTGCTAAAATAAAAGCATATCTATCTAAGAAAAAAGAGTGTTGGGACATAGAACTGGCTCCAGTGTAATGGCAGAGTTGAGTGGTTTAATTTTTAAAAATTTTCCCTAGTTTTAAATGATATACAATGAAAATGTGCTGTTTTATAAACAGAAATATTCCTATAATTTTTAAGGGAAAAGAGGAAGGAATAGTCCCTATGCTGACCTGTGTAATGCATGCATTTAAGGGAGGGAGATTAAGATATGACAGAGGTGAATAGAAGGATCCTAGTCCCAAGGTGTGCAGGGGCCCTGGCTTCATGGGACTGCCTGGGATTTTTATGTGGCCGAATGCTGGCCACAGGCATTTGTTGTGATAGTACTTCCTCACAAATGCAGGGCTTGCCAACTGGAGAGCTGCATTTCTGACTAGCTGTCAGATGAAATACAAACATTTTTGTGCCAAAGACATCCTAATGGTTTTTTGGATATGCAGTTAATGCTGATCTTCAGGGCTCACACAGAAGTCAGCAGTCTCCTCTAGTAACTACCATCCTCAAGATTGAGGACTTGTAGTGATGAGATTTATACCTGCAGATGCGTCTCTGGATTTTTCTATGTGAGGGCTTGGCAGGTCTGATGGTGTGGTTCAGAAGAGCCTGTGACTTTATAACCAGCAGCTTCAGAGCTGACAGTTAGTAGCTATGGTCATGGGAAGACCATGGTCGTTTCATCCTTAATTGTAGGTGTTGGGGTATTCACAGACAAGCAAGCTTTGACCTGCAGGGGCATATTCCATTTTGTATAATGGTAAGAGCCAACACTTTATCTTGGCCCATGTGTAAGAGGATTCTAGAAAGCAAAAGCCCCAGTCTGTTACACTCATCATAGATTTCACATTTACCTTAAGGTAGTCTCAGGGCAGAAATGAATGCTGGTTCTTGCCATGGCTACTGCAGGCTGAGCATGTAGTTCAAAGTCAGTTATGTGTAGGGGGCATCTGCTTTATCAAGGAATCAACTGTACCTTCAGCTTATATGTTTAGATCTGGAGAACGAGTAAGAAGAGGGAATAAGCTTTTAAAATGGTAAGTGGGACCTTGCTGCAAACAGCTAGACTTGTTATGTAATTGTTTTCACTTGAAGCTGTCCATTTGTAAGTCACAAACCTTTTAAGACTCTGTACTGTGAATGGGAAGTTTCCATCAGGTCTGACTGTATCACAGAGTTAGGCAAGGGATTCCCTGAATCTGCGTGTAAGCTAGGTGGTATTTCTAGATGCCTAAATAACCTGTCTCAAAAATATGCACATTTCTATTCTTCAAGTATATCTTGGTACTTTGATACTTAGCAAAATGAAAACTTATTTAAAAGCATTTCAAATTCAAAGGAGCTATTTGGACTTCCTTGCATTTCAAATTGAAAAGAACTATTTAGATTTTCTTTTCTTTTTTTAGTTTTTCTAGCTTATTTGAGGAGTTATCACATTAATTTCTAATTTTATGCTACATTAACAAATAGAGCAATGTTTTTCAGATAATTGCTTACAAGGGCAAAAGGAGGAAATCCTGGAGAAGGAGAAGCTCAGCGGACAGGATTCCAAGCCAGAAAAAGCAGACTTGCAAAGTCAAGACCGCGTTGGCACCAGCCCTGTGTTCACCCCGCCTGCCAAGACCGCAATGCTGTAAGGGTAACTTAGCTACTTGCATTGCTGTGAACTGTGAGGCAGCCTTATTCACCAGCTGCTGCTTTTAATACTTTATTGAGGATAAGGAAGAATTCCTAATTGTTTTTGAGGCTTTTATATGTGTTAAGTTTCCAGGGCAATAGACAAAGACAAATAATCTACAGGGTAACTTCGCAACAAGACAGTTCCGTCTTGCAAGTCATCAGTGGGCCAGAAACCTCTGTGCAGGAGGAGATGTCAGTGGACGCAATGCATGTTTTCGTGGATGAACATGGTGAGTTGCAGAGCGGTTTGCTAATAAGCAAAAGGGGAAGGCAGAGCTGTCAGGATGATGCACGGACTGATAGCCTGAGCATGACTGTATTTCCATGCAAATAACACTAGAACTTATATTAGTTTTTGCTCTAAAAGATGCAGTAGGCTTATTTTCAGGGGATGTCTTTATTTTTCATGTACAGTGATCAATATGTGTTCATGTACAAACTACATTTATTCATGTACAAAAATCTACAGTTATTCAAATCTAGTCATGTCATCCTCTGTAGCATCGTCATAACTCTCTAAACCTGAATAATTCTAACCTGAATTTCCTGTGACTCCATTTCCTGTAGAACCACTGACCCCAGTCTCTCATGTCCAGCAACAGAGATCTCTTTAAATGAGCAATTCTTGTCTATGAGGCCTGCTACATGGCAACACAGCTCTCAGTAATTTTATCCCATGAATTCGTCATTCAAGTCAAGACCTCTTGCAGGCCGGGCTTCACAAAGTTTCCGTTAAATCGAGTGTTAATTAAAGACTTATGAAACAGGAGTGGCAACGAAAGTGATGACAGTTAAGAATGATGAGAAACTGCAGTCACCAAAGATTCAAAAAAATGTTTCTCTATTTCACACAAGTGGAATAAGTATGTCCATTATAATGCATGATGTATAGAATTATGAACATTCATATTAGTCACAGCCAGGTCTGTTATCAAGTGCACACATTATTCATGCATTGTGTCTGTACTCTGATTGAATATTCAGCAATGTCTTGAGTTCATCTGTTTACACAGGCCTTTACCTCTTATCCAAAGATGCCTGCTTGGGTATTTACAAATCCTTACTTATTATTTATATTATCATTTATTTGAAGTATTAATGTGAATAATATTTATTTATATTTAATTATATATTAATATTATTATTTTATAATTCAGGAATGCACTTTGTGTTGCAACGGATGTACTAAATGTGTCCATCTTGTTGGCAATCTTTTTTTTGTTTTTTGGTACTGGGAATCGAACTCAAGACCTCGTGCTTGCCAGGCAGGTGCTGTGCCACTGAGCTATATCCCCAGCTATAGTTGATAACCTTAACTGGTACTTATTTTGGGGGTAGGGCTTATAGTACAAGCATCCTGAAAAATTATGCTAAGCCTTATTTTCCAGTTAGGTCTTCTTTTCAGAAGTAGCATGGTAGCTACTGGAACAGGCAAAATCCTGTGATTTTGCTTAATATTCTTGGGAAGAGTATCCTGCTTTGTGCCTCAGGGCCTTTGCATATACTGTGTTCCTGAGGCCTGCATGTGCTATTTATCTTTCACGTATTAGTTCTAAGATAAGTTTTTCAGACTTAATGACGTACCTCTGTTTTTTTGCCCCCTTGACACCCTGTTCTTTTATTTGATATTATAGCCTATAATTAATTAGTCACTTATGATAATTTGATTAATGAAATTTTCCCTCTCATGACTGTAAACTTCAGCAGGACAATGCCCAGTACCTTGTAAATATGTATTGGATATATGTTGAACATCTGACCTTGATAGATTTTATCAGCATTGTCTTATAAAAGGACTTAAACAGGCATATCCCACCCACAGCCTCCAGGCCACATCTGGCCCCTCAAGATCATACATTTTTTGCATTATTATGTGATTTTTTTTTTTTTCCAGTACCAGGAATTGAACTCACGACCTTGCGCTTGCCAGGCAGGCGCTGTGCCGCTGAGCTAAATCCCCAGCCCCTTATTGATATTTTTCATGGCTCCATCGTGAGGTGCTTGACTGTGGACTTTGTAGCTGGCCACAGCCACTGTATAGAGGAGGGCCCACTGTGCAGCTGATTCTTGCCCTGTACCCAGCCCACATGGTCCAGTCTACACCCACACACGCCAGCCGTGACATGCATTTGTGTGACTTGCAGAGAACAATGCAGTGATTATTGGTAATGGTATTTCAGCCTACCCACATGCGTGTGCCTGTGAAGATGAGTGTTTATTGTTAGTCAGCAGGCGTGTAAGTTTTCTTATTTAATTGTTAAATTTGGGCTTGTGTTATTTTGTAAAATATTCTGGTAAGCTAAAATGAAGAAGAGGAAGCTTTGTTACTTGTACACACTGACCATATTGCTTGTTTTATAACTGGCCCCAAACAATCCTCTTAGTGTGGCCTGAGTAAAGATAAAAGTTTGAATGCCTGTGATTTAAAGTACTGTAGACTTAGAATCATTAAGTAGCAAGTTCAGAGTCCCCAAAATAAAAGATATAGGCTCTAGTCTTTCTGGAACGAGTCTTTGCTAGTCCCTTTATAAATCAAGTCATAGTTGTTGTCCAAAGTCATCCTGGGTTAGATAATAAACTATATGGCTACCTTACGGAGAGCTCAGGGGTTTATAGTCTTATGTGCCTGGGTATTGGCAGACATACAATATCCTGACAGTCTTTGACAAAGAACTACACTAGCCCTTCCGTGGAAGACCAGAGAGGGGCAGGTTACCCTTACTTGCCTCTCCACCTTCCAGGTGCTCCTAGCAGATGGGTTCATAATGCTTCCTGAGCCACTAGAAGTGGGAGCTGCTAGAACTCCGGTGAGAGACCGTTTACATTGGGATGGGAGCTGATTTCACACCTCAGTGCCCCAAACCCTTCTAGTAGAGCTAATCAACTCTGCAAATGAATTCTGCCCTTGCTTTTCCACATTAACTCGCTGACACCCAGTCAGCTGCTGCAGCATTTGCTCATCTGCATACTGAAGCTGCTGCAGCACTTGCTCCTGCCGTGGCCTCGGGAGCTCCACGATCAAAACTGCATGCCTAGTAAACCTCTCTACATAATACCCATGTGTGTGCAATGCAGGAAAACACCCAGTTAAGCGTAGCACAGAGCATGCTGACACGTGAAGGTAATTTATGAAAAGCGAATTAAGAGATGATACAAATAAGTTGATTAAAAGCAATTAAGCACTAAGTAATGAAGTCAAAACTATATTGCCAGGGAGGGATGTCAAAGAAAATTTTTCTTGTTAAAGTTCCTTTTGTACATTGTTCACCTTCTCATGATACATGTTCTGTAGAGAAACCTACGCAATGGACCTAGCGTGTCCGCAGCTATTACTTAAACACCCCAAAGTGAGCTCTCTTTAGCTTGAAAATAGTGTAGGATGAAGAGGGCATAGACAAACAACTGTGTAAGATACTTTGCGGAAATTTTGTGATTTTGCAGGGGAAATTAAGTCCTGTTACTTAAAGTCTGGAAATCAGAAAGAAGGCTCCTTCCAGTTCCCGCCCTCCCGTGAGGACTGTGCCTCCCAAGGCCGGTGAGTGGAGCTCTGCTTTCCGTGCAGGAACTGTGGACTGAGTGGGGATGCACAGCTTCCTCTGAAAATAAAGTGTGGGGCCTGGCGCAGGAGGAACAAGTTCATCCTTTTATGGGTTTATCTGATTCTGGAGGCAAGAAAATCTGACATTATAGAACAATGAAAAACAAAAGGGACCATTTTCATTGCTGCACTTCCAAAAATGAGTAGAAGGTGCAGTGTGAAGAGGGGGCACCTGAGGACAGCACAGCAGCGCTCTCTGCGAGAAAGGTGCTTGCGCGGCTGTGGGGCACACTGCTGTCTTCCCAGGAGCACTTTGGAAATGGAGTTGGTTCCCATCCTCACTAGGGCAGGCAAGCTGTTTTGTAGACAGGTGATCTAGGCATCTTTTCTAGTTTACCTCAGAATGCATCAAATAGTCGTCTTAATTATGGGAACTGAGTTGGTATTAAGTGAGTGTGCACATCCAGCATGCACGTACACAGCTTCACAGTGCATTGGGCCAACTGTGGAGCTGGCCAGTGGTGGACTGAACCCACCGTTCATCCCAGGGCCCGAGATTCTGCGCGGCTAGGGCCTGTGGGCATGGCACAGTTGCTGGTTCTGAGTGTGGAGGTCGGGCTTCGTGTATAGCTCCTTAGACTCCTATGCACGTTTGAGGTGTACGGGAGACTTGTGTGGTAAGACTGACGTACCCTGCCTACCTGGACAGTATAAAAGGAGTTTCAGGAACGTAAGTTCCAGATCCTGTGGCCCATGTTTCTCCCAAGCCCAGAGTCCTTCCAGGGGTGTATGGAAATTTCCAGGGGAGTCTGCTGGAGCCGGGGGGGAAGGCTGCCCTCGTCCTTGCCGTGTGGCAGCCTCCAGAGCACTCTCACGTTAACGTCGCGGTGGCTTCTCAATGCCCATGTCTGCTGCTCCTGACAGTCTCCTGGGCACTGCAGGAACAGCCCTCCTGGCTCTGCTCCAAAGCAGGGTGCGGCACCCAAAATTCCTCCTGTGAGACAGGGCATGCTCTTCATCTCCTACTTTCCCTCCACTCTTCCTCTCCATTCTCCGATATCCGTACACCAACCGGACTCCTCCAGCCAGAAAGCATGCAAAGCCCTACACAAATGGAGACCCAAGAGGAGATGGAGGTTTGTTGTGTGCATCTCTGTGCCAGCCGCTAGCATGTTCTGTTGCGATGGTTTCGTGAGTTTCGTAGTCTAAGATTTCTGCTTTCTCAGACAAAACACTTAACTGCACGAGAATATAGCTTTGAGCACCACGCAGCTCAAGGTTGAGGTGTTTCTCAGCTAAATTTAGAACAGATAGAAGTCTCCTATTATCTCCCAATTCAGTTTTTTTTTTCTCTTCTGGATGAATATACTTCACTTTTTCCCTAGGGAAGTGCTTTCGCTGAATCCACTGAGCAACACTGCTGAGCAACTGGGTAATGCCAGTTAGGATAAAGCCACGTAACCAGAGCCTTAAAAACAACCAAAGAATATGCAGACAGGAACCAGAGAGATGGGGCTGCAGCGGTCTCATCAGCCCCTCCTTACATTGCGCCTTCCTGAGTGCCACCTCTTAACTACTTTCTCCCCTTAATTTCTCACTTGCAACTGAATTATTTCATTTTCTCTGTGTTTCCTTTCCCAATAAGAGCCCTTTCCTTTTCCCCCGCCCTCCTCCCAGGGCTGCTGGTTTTGGGTTGCACAGTGCATTTGGTCTGGGTGGAAGGGCTCTGGCAGCTAAGGGTGAGACCTGCCAGGTGCTGCAAGAGAGCTGCTGTGTTTCTGGTGGGCTTTCTACCAGGCCCTGTGGCCTAGGGCAGAGTCTCAGAGAATCAGGTCCTCTCCTGGCTCCATCTTTTTAGGTGCACAGGACATTGGGCCCCTTTCTGTTGTACTTGAGTGGATCTCGCCTCCAGCAGGTGTAATCATGGGAGAATTGTCAGGTTATGTTACTGAGAAGTCTTGGTTGACCCATCTTCAGGAGTGTGTGGATCAAGGCATTCCTCTGGAGGCCCCAGGTGTGGTTTTGCTCTTCCTGTGGCTCTCCTGCTCCCCTGTTTAAACAGCACTCTCCAACACAGCACCCTGTTTATCACCAGGTGATTCTCATCACCCCATAACCTCTCATTCAGTCCAGCAGGACACAAACTTCTTTCCCATGAACCCCAATAGTCTCATTGTGTCTGATTGGTTCTGACCAATGCATGTACCTTGAACCCAGTCACTGACTTGGGCCTACATATAGACCCAGGGCTGGATTGGGGTTCGCTTGGACGATGAGTGAGGGTTCCTGCACAGGGGGTTTAGGGTGGGCAGGATAGGTGCCGGGCAGCACATGTTAGCAGGTGACCCCCGAAGACTCTGCTTCTGGTAAAATTGGCAGCTGAATTATTTACTGAGCTTTTTCAGGGGAAAAATGTTCAAGTGTGTAAAAGCAGTTTTCCTCTTACAGAAAGACTTCATGTCATGTCCCTAAGCTGCATGGTAGCTTTTCTAGTGTGTGAATGGCCCATAGATAAGATTGTGGTCCCCCAGCCACAGTACTGAGTTCTGGATTTTAGGCCAACTGTACTTGTTCAGGGGTTGAGGGCCTGGTCTTGCGGGTCCTGGGAAGGAAAGGCCCGTTGCCACGCATGGTTTCCCTTTCTGTGCTTCCAAAATAACGTAAATTAACACCTATATTTGCTGTTTTATGTGCGGAATGTTACTTGGGGATGTAATGCTCTCTACACTGTCTGGTCTTTGAATAAGTTAGTTCTTAAGACTGATAACAGTGAGACTTTTTCATGGGTGCCTTGGCCCTACGGTGGCTCACTAGGACATGACAGATGCACGGGCTTCCTGTCTAATGCAGAAGCGCAGGCCCAGTCACTCCCCTTAGTGAAATTACAGTGCTGAGGCTGTGCTTGGTCCTGGAGGAGCAGTGAGGATGCTGCCCTCTGCTTAGCTCCTGCTCAGGAGCGGGTGATCAGCCTGTGCGGGGCTGTGAACCATGTGCCTGTGGCCTCAGATTCCTTCCCTACTCCAGACACTAGTCAGGGCAGGCTGAGGCCCATGGATTGGTAATAAGCTTTTTGGCTTTGAAGAACCTGTGATATGATGGTGACTTGGGTATCTTTGAACTGACTGCATGGAAGAAAATTTGCTGGAAAATAGGAGAGAAACAGATGGTTTGGTTAAATTTCAATATTTTTAATGCCTGCATTAACATACCAGTGTGTGCATGGGTATGTGTGTTTATGTGTATATGTATGTGTGTAACACTGTGTATGTGCGTATATATGTACATGTGTGTGAATGTGTGTGTGTGGGGGTGAAGATGGTTGTTTCTCTATCATTGTGTCTAATACTAGAGGTACGGAATGACCTCAGAGCCTGATGAACCCCACCGGCAGGTCCGGTTTTGCCACACATAAAGTTTAGAATTAATGTTAGGGTTCGAGTTGGGTGCCCCTCGAGCCTTCCGTGCAGAGCATCATGGCCGCTCATAACCCCAACCCAGGAGGCATTTCTGGTGACAATTCTGGCAGCAGCAATGCCTTTTATTAAGCACTTCTGCACTAAGCATGTGCTAGATCTTAGAATATCCAGTGAGGTTGGGGATATGAGCTTCATTTTACAGCACAGGGAACTGAGGCTGATTAGGAAAGGTTCTTAATGTCATGGGGCCGGTGGCTGTAACACTTGCCATAAGTGGCTGGTGGACACTCGAATGCCCTGCCTGCCTCTCCCACAGTAGGGTCATAGGTTGTGTGAACCAGGCCTGCAGGACCAGTGTGGAAGGGCACTGCAGTGAGGACAGGCCATTTATCCCGTCTATGGATATCTGCTTTGCTTATCTTCGGTCTGCTGACCCCAGTGTAAGCCTGAGATGACCAGGGTTTTTTTGTTTTTGTTTTTGTTTTTCCCACTAGGAGCTTGGAATTCATATTTATATGTAAAAGTTTTTTTATTTAATGTTGATTTTTTTTTTTTTTGGTTTTTCTCCCGTACCGGGAACTGAACTCATGACCTTGCGCATGTCAGGCAGGCGCTTTTGCCGCTGAGCTAAATCCCCAGCCCCTTAATGTTGATTTTAAAAGTTTTTTTTTTTTTTTTTTTAAGTACTAGAGCTTTCACACTGAGCTATATCCCCAGCCCTTCTATGTTTTATTTTGAGACAAGATCTCCCTAAGTTGCCTGGGCAGGATTCCAACCTACAGTCCTCCTGCTTCAGCCTTTCAAAGTACTAGGAATACAAGTGTACACCAGTAGGCTGATTTGAAACTTTTGGAAATACCGCAGGCCACAGATCCCATGTGTGTGGCTGGCTGTGGCCTGCGGACTGCCTGTTGTCAACTCCTACTGTGGGGGTCCTCCCGCACCCCGCCACCGACTCCTGTGGGCAGCGCTGCTCACTCTCAGCCCTTCCTGCTGACACACGTGATACTGATAGTGATGTGCCCTGGGGTGATGTGCGCTGCAGCCTCCACCCACTTCTCCTTTTTGACATTCTCATTTCAGAGCTCAAACTACAATTGTCTCTTTTAGGCCTACATTGTGAAAATAGACCCACCTCTCCAGGTTCCTTTTCTGAGAGTCTGACCGTATTCTCCCTGCCATGTCTTTAATTTGTATATGGCTCCCATCTCTTCTAGGTTGTTGTCTATTGAAAAGTGGCCATGGCCAGGGTCCTTTATAGCTCTCATGGCTCTCTCCACTCAGGTGTTCAATAAAATTTACTTAAGTCAAATTGAGTCATTAGGAATGACACAGGTGCCCAGTTGGAGGTGTAGGTCATTGTTATGGTTTATATCTGTGTGTCCCCCCAAAGCCTCCTGCGGCCCTGGGGCAGGCTATTAGCATTTGAATATGGGTGTGAGAGCTACACCTGCCCTGGGATGGATAGTTTGCATATGTAAGGGAGAGGAGGAAGCTGCTTGGGGCCATTCCTCCAGGATTCCACCGTGGTGTGTATGTGGTGGCAGCTTTGCTGTGCTGCCGCCCTGAGATGCAGCCCTCTGCCACGTGCCACTCTGCCTTATAATCATGCCTAGTACGGATTGAAACCTCCACAAACTGTAAGCGAAATAAACCTTCCTTAATTTTGGTCGTCAGGTATTTTGTCCCAGCAGCAAGAAAAAAGTAACGAAGACAGTCACGCTAAGGCTAGCTGAACACGGAGGACAGCTCGGAAAAACTCACCAGGACCAGTGGCATAGAGTCAGGGGGCCACAGGACCTGGTTGGGGATGTCACTCTTCATTCTCTGAGCAGTGAGTGATCTGGCCTCTCAGCAGAAGGGGACATACTGATGGGTGTGGGATCATCGAGGTGATGTCGGCAAGCACTTTCCTCACCTTTCAGTGGCTGGAGGATGCAGAGGGAAATTAGACAGAGAGAAACTTTCAGGATGGGTCACTTTAAACCCTGTATGTGGAAATCAGAGCTAAAGACTCACTAGGCCTTCCAGTCCTGCACTGTGTGAATGAAGCACTTCTCTCTGTCCACAGGACAGCTGATGGTGGGGGAAGACCTGGCACTCGGCACCAGACTGAGTTGAAACTGGAGAGGTCCAGCTTTTCTCAGTGCAGACAAGAATATTGTCTCAAGCAGATCTGTGTTCAAATTCCAACACTTGTGGTTATTTTTTGTTTGACATTGTGCAACTGCCTTAACCACTTTAACCATCAGTTTCTTAATGCATCAGTAGAGGGGAAATCTTCCCAATTCATCTGCTGGGTTTCTTTAGGTTAGATGTGGTAATGCATATGATGCTAATGGCAGTGCCTGGGACCGACGCCACCTGTTGCTACTGTCTTTGGACAGAAATGGAGCACAGTGGCCAAAGTTCATTGTGCTTTTACTCAGCAAAGGAACCTGGCTTTTGGCCAGGAGGAAATCTTTCCCGTAGTGCTTTTATGGGTTGCTTTATAAGATCTGGAAGTTAGGAAAGTATTTTTGTTCTCCTCGTCCACCTGTTGTGGCCCAGTATCTTGGCACCTATGGTGATTTTAGAGCAGGCATTTTAGTATTATGACCCTGGCTCTTAATGCCATTAAATTTTGAGTCCTCCCACCATTGTATACATAAAATTTGATTTTGAACATGGAAGGATGAGTGGTTGGGGCTGTTTCTAGGCATTCGTCCATGGAAGGTACTGGAAAAGCTTTTTCCCATAAAGTGACCTCAGTGGCTGGGATTGCCTCCAACTAGGCCATTAAGCCACTGAATTTTATTATTGGCAGGAAGGTTGTTCCCCCTAGTCATTGTTAAACCTTGTTGCCATGTGACAGTTTTATGTCTCTGACTTCCAAGTATGAATAGGGAATTGTTAGCAATGTAACTTCCATGTCTCTTTGGGGATTCCTGAAGGAAGCCAGGAGAGGAAGCTCATTTCCTTCCTTGACCCCACTGTCATTGTGGGAACCAGTGCCCCTCTCACCAGTTGCCAGAGACATGGAGACATGGCTTTCTGGCCATGCATTTGCTGTCCATAAAGCAGGTACCTTGGTAACTTTATCTGACACAGCCCTGCTTTCACCAGAGACAGGGGTGAGCTGTGGCTTGAATTGCAGCAGTTAACATGGTGACTTGGACAGACTGCCAGAGGATAAATCCACTGCAGGGTTTTATTACCCAGAACATAGCACTAATTCAGGGGCTCAGAGCCTGAAATGAGGTGATCTACCTCGAAAGTCGAAGTTAAAGCAGGCTGTCTACCTAGCAAGTTGAAGGTGGAGCTGCCTGGAAAGTTAAACTGTACTGTGGGACGAAAGGGTTCATCGCACAATAGACTTTTGTTATTCTTCTGCAGATTTTTGCAATAAAAGCTTAATAGTTTTTCTTCTTTGTTCAGCAAATATTTTTACTTTTTGTCTAAAAATTATTCAAAGTAATATATATATATATGTGTATATATATGAGCGCTTTCTTTTTTCAATGAACTCTGTGTTCAGTAATCTAGCTTTTCCAGGGTCATAAGCAATAGAGTGGAAATGTATGGGACACACGTATCATCTGCTCCCAGTGCAATCTGATGGAAAGATGTGGTATTCACATTCACTTTGATGGTGAAGAACACATAAGATAGGTATGTGTGATGGAATGGAAGAGTCATCCTGGATCACATTTATTTACAGGACTTTTATTGGGCATTTTTGTATGTTTGTTTGAATTCACTTATTTCTGACCTGATTTGTTTTAGAATTAGAGTAGCACATAGTGAAGTGATATTATTTGGCTTACTAGTTACATTTCTTTTTTGGAATCTGTTCTAAATCTCTAGACCCATTTTACACCATCCCCCAAAGGTGAATTGAGGCCCTGTACTTGATCTTTATCGCCTAATCCTTATACTTTTGTTGACATCTTCAGCTTCCCTGATCCTTACCTCAGTAAAAGCACCCTCACTTACTGAGATTACCTAGAAGAACATGGGACACAGTGTTTAAGTGTGTACCTGGTCCCCAAAGAATGGAAGAAGAAAGGAAGTTGCAAGAACTTACCCTCTCTGTTTGAACTGCTTCACTTTATTCACAAGAAAGAATGAGTCTGTTTGGAGTGGCTGAGCAGCAGTGTGGCCATGCAGCGAGACACTCGGATGTGTGGAACACAGAGCAGAATGTTGTGACCTTTCAGTGTCAGATGTGCGCAATTGTGTGTCCATCTGAGCGTGGTCTCAGATCTAATTACAAATGCCTGAGATCATGCAGGTAGTTGTGTCACTGTTAATTTGGGTAGTAGAGAGATGTATGTTTGCTACTTCAAATTTAGTAAGACTTTGATGGGGTCTTGGAGCCTTTGATCATACAGAAGTGGGAACAGACGGTGCTTAGGGTCTGGTTTTGAGTGGCTTCTCCCCTCTCAAATTCCTCTGCTTCTCCACTTTTACCCTGTGTTCCTTGCCATCTCATCCTTATTCTGGATTTATGGACACATTGGGAGGAGATTACACTCCAGCCAGTCCCAGATCCCAGAGTTTTCAGAGAGGTAGCTAAGCAGGGAGGGAAGAAAGGTTGATTCTAGAATAATTTCAGTCCTTGAGGCCCCACCCAGCTACAGAGGGCTCCCACACTGTGGTTCAGCATGATCACCACACGGGGGCAGTCAGCACCCACGCTTCAGGCTACCTGCCTCTGCCTTCCCCAGGCGCTTGCCCAAATCCTCCTGTCACAGAATGGAAAGGTGCTTGCAGCTTTTGGCCAAGGTCTGGTGGAATTCTCAGTGTCAGGCTGCAGCTTGCAAGAGGGGGGCTCTGTATATACGTATCCTCTGCGGTGAGTGTGGCTTGCTGACTCAGTTTCTCAGCTGTCGGCCTGTGGCCCTTGTGGCTGTGGCCCCCAGTGAGCCAGGAACACAGGGAAGCCCAGGCACGAGAGGAGGGGGCAGCAGGCTGTTGCTTTTAAGTCTGAGAAGGTGGAGGCTCTCAGGAGATTTTCCCTATCAATGGGAAAGTGGAAATACGGCACATGTATTTTCACTGCTTGTTCCTTGCCGCGCTCAGATGGATGAAAAGGTGGGGAGTCCAGTGGGGTGCACTATTACCAAGGTCAATCTGGGCCCCAGCTCTGTCCCTGTGAGAGTGCACCATCCTGGCCCAGCCTCGACTCCTGGCCACACTTTCCATTCCCTCTCAGTGGCGGCTCTTCATAGCCTCTACCAGAGCAAAATCTAGTTCCCATAAAACTTACCTCTGCTAACCCCCTGAACCGAACTAGTACCAGAGACAAACCAGAGAACAGATGACGCAAACCAGATGTGCCAAGTTGAGCATACTGCAGTTCGGAGAAACATTCTTCCAGGTGTATCTCCCTCTCTCTGCTGTTTCAGAAGAGGTGCTGCACATCCCTGGTGCCTGTGTGTGTATGTGTGTGTGTGTGTGGGGGGGTATATACGTGCATACATGCATTTTGCATAGGTGTTCCTGGCACCTGCAGGTAACCAGAACTCTCTTTGTCCATCCTCAGAGAGGTGCATCTCAGCTCCTCCAGCACTACCACTTGTGAGAGTCCAGACCCATCCTCTGGGGACCCTGCAGTCAGCGCCCTGCAACAGCAGCTGTTGCTCATGGTGGCCCGGAGGACCCACTCAGAAACCCCACGGGTATGTGCCTTCCAGAATCACTATTTATGGTGCTCTAGAAGTAGAGGATCTTAAATACTGTTTCCAGGTTGGTTGACCAGGTCTCACCCTAAATTTTGCTTTGCTGTATGGTGGATCTATCATTGCATGGCAGTTCACTTAGTGAATGTGGAAAGAAACTATATACAGCTGGTAACCTTCCAATGACATTACCAGAATTACCTCTGTCTCACTTGCTTTTCCAGATGCATTAGAAATTCATTCACATTGATCTTTGGTTGCTAGGATGCGTTGTTCCCACAGGAACACACTGAGTTAGTTTGTGCCCCCACACAGATTTTGACAATAGTGGCTCTTTAAAAAACAATTATGGTAACCTTGAATACTCAACACTCAAAGATTCTTAAATATTTAACCCAAACAGAGACCTTATTCTTGGGATGTTGACATCTAGGGTCTAAGGAAGAAGCTTCCCATTATCTTACTAGGAGATGCTGTACAGATGTGCATCATTCATCCAGCCAGGTGTAATGACACTCAGGAGAGGCAGAGCCGTGATTCACAGCTACAGATGCCACGGGCGGGCAGACCCAGATCCAAACGGGGCAGATGAGCTGAGGGTTGACTTGAGGCATCAGGCAGGAGGGGGAAAGAGAAGGCTCCTTAGAAAAAGAGGCATTCAGGTTAGACGAAAAGGTGGGCTTCCTCTGGTTCAGGTGGAAAGAGGACTACAGGTACCATAAGGTCGCTCTGGTGTGAAGTTTCTAAAACTGTGCTTACTTTTCTCCTGACAAGATGTCAGTTCCCTCTAGGGCATACTGGGTTTTGAAAAATTATACAGCTTTATGTCTGTTTTTAGGATTGCTTAGCCAAATTTTTCCGAAGAATGTTTGATAATAGAGTGGGTTGATCTATCTATCTATCTATCTATCTATCTATCTATCTATCTATCTACCTACCTACCTACCTACCTATGTATCTCTCAAATGTGCAAAAAAAAAGTCAAGTTCCCTTCTACCTAAGTGACTCCTTCTTGCTTGCAGGGTAGGGGGACTTCAAAGTGCCAGTGAATGGTGACTCAGCTCTCTTGGGTTGATGGAGTTTCCATGGGAACAAATCAGTGCTCAACTCATCCACAGACCCAAGCTTTCAGGACACTTCCATATTGTGTGTGCAGGCTCACCTGCCTCCTCCCAGAGGCCTATGGGTGCAGTGAGCCACTGTCCTGGGGCCCACTGTGGAGGTGAGGTGTGGGAAGCACAGAGTATCACTCAGAGGTAGCTCCCCGTGTGGTCACAGGCTGCTGAGTCCTGCCTGCTGGGCTGGTGCTAGGTCTGCCTCCTACTGACCACCAGAGACTCTGCCTTTGTCCCCGCTCTGAGACCTTCACTGGGCATCCACCTCCTCACTATCCATACTTTGGGGCTCACCAGTCCTGTCTACATCTCTGAGGGCCTGGACACCAGCTGCATTTGTATGCCTGTCCCTGTGGGGTCTGTGAGTCTAGCCACCCACTTCCGGTTCTCACCAAGGGGGTTTTGAGAAACCCTTGGCCCTCCCCACATGGCCTTGGGCAAAGCCCGCCTCCTCCTACCTCCTGAGTGCTGAACCTCCAGGGAAGTTCCCTGGAAATGCTGAGATAGTCGGGAGGGTGTGGTGCTCTTGCTTCCATCTTGGCAGAACTGGAGGAAAATGAGAAATTTGGGGTTCTCAAAGGTACAGTCAATCCATTGACTTAATGTCCAAAGATATCACAGTCGGAGCCCCTCCTTAAAAGTGAGTAAATATTGCAAGGATAACCCAGATCGCCCCTTATTTCACATTTAAATTTCTGTAAGTGGCACTATAATATAAGTGATGTATAAAAATACTAATTTCATCTATAGCAGTGCTGATGAACCTATGGCAAGTGTGCCAGAGCAGGCTGTTTGTATCATTGAAAACTCTAAAAGGTTCGCCATCGCTAATCTATAGTGTTTCACTGTTAATCACTTAACCAGAGTCAATCTTTTTAACTTCTTAACTTTAAATAAAATTTGCAGTGTTTAAATTTCTACTATCTATGGGTATAGAGTTGGAAAAAAATACAAACTGCCATACAGCCTCATATTTAGATCCTGAGTAAATATTTATGAAGATCTCATACCAGAAAAAAAGAGAAAAAGTTTAGTTCTACTATTTATCTCTCCAAATTGAATTCTTGTCACCAGGGAATTAAATTGGTTTTGGCCACAAAATAAAAATTAATTGGTTTCCTGCTCATTATCCAACAAATACTCTTTGTAGGCTGAGTATGCCTTCAGTCCCTGCCAGAAGCTGGGTCACAGTGATGAAAATACTCTGTCCCTGCCTGCAAGAGGTTTGACAAGACAACTCCATCCTCTCTGGCAGAGCTCAGGATGAGAGTGGCTCAGGTGCTGTGGGACAGCAGAGCAGTGAGGACTAGAAGGGGGGACCAGGGAGGCTTCCTTGGGGCAGAGATGCCACAGCTGAAACAGGAGGGATGATTGCAGTTGGCCAGGTAGAAAGCAAATGAAGGCTCCAGCGGACAGAACTCTGGCCAAAAGTCTGGAGGAAAAACAGAAAGCAGGCGTGCTCATGTGTGCAAGCACGGGGACTTCCAGGGCCCGTAGCATAAGGGCTGCTTCTCAGGATATCCTAGCAACACAAGCGGGAAGTAGGGCCGCCCCTAAGACTACATTTACTTCCTTCCCTCTCTCTTTCATAACCCTGAGCTGGGAGCTGCCTACACTCCAGCCGAGGAGTCTCTTCATACAAGCAAGGGTCTGTGGGATGGCCAGGTGGTAGTGCAAGACCAGAGAAAAAACTTACCTGAAATTCTTCCCTGGCATAAATGAAATGTGTGCATGGGATAAAGGGCCCTGATGGGACTGGGGTCCCTGGGGCACTGGCAACCTTCTCTTCATATGCAGAGCTGCAAAGCCTGGTCCAATAACACCGAGGGAAGGGCAAAGCGTGGGACACTGTGGCATTTGGTGGAATCTGTCTCTTAAACTCCCTGGCTTTCAGGGCCATTGACTATGGCCAGATGCAACATGCCATGAATCCACATTATAAACTGGTGCTTCTCTGGACCTTAGTTTACCTACCATGTGCTTCTAACCTCAGGGGGTACATTCTGTTTGCTCATTGCCATGACTTTTAAAATCTCACATTATCCCAGTACGTTACAGGGCCAGCACGTAAGCCATCACCTTGGTTGATGGTCTTTATTATACTTTGGTTGGTGGCCGGCCCCATCTCAAAAGCAGTGTTGGTTCTCTGGCATCTTCTGCTTGCATTTATCTCACCTGGCTCTAATCTTTTTTTTGTTTTGTTTTGTTTTTCCAGTACCGGGAACCGAACTCACGACCTTGCGCTTGCCAGGCAGGCGCTGTGCCGCTGAGCTAAATCCCCAGCTCCAAAATTGTGGTTTTTCTGCATTGACTCATTTATTTATTTTTATTTTTTATTTTAAAAATTTTTTTCCTGTACCGGGGATCGAACTCACGACCCTGTGCTTGCCAGGCAGGCGCTGTGCTGCTGAGCTAAATCTCCAGCCCTGGATCTAGTCTTAAACTCATTCTCCTTGTCTTCCACTAGGAAATGAGAGGGCACTGTATATGACAGCTTCGTGCTTTGTAAACCCTACAGCTCTACATCAGTCCATGACGGTGGCCTTATTGTTGTCCTTATAGGTAGCATGGAGGCCACTCAGTTCCTTGGTCCTAAATTGACCAGAATTGGTGAGAACTGCACAAATGGATGGAGTCCAGGGCATGGCAGACTGTCCTCCTAGGTTCATGTAAAGTTGGCATTTATATAACCACTTACTGTCACTAAAGATTCAGTGGGCATCCATAAGAATGACACTAACAGATGAAACAATCATATAGATGAAATAAATGAACATCAGTTATTACAGCTTAGCATATTTCTCTTTCTTCATATGTTCATTTACTGGAAAGTATGTTATGGTTTTAAAAAGAAAAATGAGCATTTGCCTACTTTTCATTTATCATGTTCAGAAGTTCATTTAAGAAATCTGTTTAGTTTTTTTTGTTTTGTTTTGTTTTTTTTTCTCCAGTACCGGGAACCGAACTCACGACCTTGCGCTTGCCAGGCGGGCGCTTTTGCCACTGAGCTAAATCCCCAGCCCTAAGAAATCTGTTTAGAATAGAAGGGGTTTCTCGTGAATTCTGGCTGTTAAACAAAGCCACTATTGTCACAGCCTCACTGTGTGAGTTTGATGTGTTTTACCCCGCAAAGTGTTATTTACATCTAGTTGTAACTCACCATCCACTTACACCTGTGGCCTTTTTTTTTTTTTGAGACAGGGTAGCGCTAGGTAGCCTAGGTTGGCCTCAAACTTGTGGCCATCCTCCTGTCTCAGCCTCCCAAATGCTAGGATTACAGGTGTGCACCACCACATCCGGCCCACTGGCACATTTTGGACACTAGTTATGTGTGCAGTCCTGTGCCAGGGACCCTCATATTTGGCATCAACTCTTCGTGGGAAATCTTGGGGTTAGATATTATCTCACCTTGGGCTTGACATCTAACAAGACGGGAGCAGATAGGGTCCTGGAACGTGGGTGTCAGCAGGGCCCTGACTCTGTCCCTTTCCTTCAGTCCTCGAGTCACCACTGGGATGTGTGGTGCTGCTCACATCCCCTTGGCAGGCTCTGCTGTGACCTCTCACCAGCCCACTTGTGACACAACTTCCCTCTCTGGGCTTGACAGCTACGTGGTGCCTCCCTCTCCACTTTCAGTAAAAGCGGTGCAGATTTGGGATTCTTTCCCAGGTTCCCTATAAAAGGAGCCTGCAATTCATTCCCTCTGTGCCTGTCTGACTGTGGGGGAGGGTACTGTAGGGCCGTTCATGTTCCGTCTTCACATAACAGGCCCTCAGCTGCATTAGTTTTTATTAAGTATAGTTTATCCTCAGAGTCACAAATCTGACTTTAAATTTGTTTTTAAAGTAATACTATCCTGTTTATAACCCATGATTCTCCATCCTC